CATTTGTGTTTCTACAAACTAACAACAGACTGTCCAAAAGGAAATTAAGAAAGTAAGTTCATATGTAACACATTATGTGGGATAAAACACTTTAGAATAAGTTACACGAGGTAATGCAAAATAAGTACTCTTTTCTTTTTTTTTTTTGTTCTGATATTTGTAATATGGTCTCACTGTGTAACCCTGGATGGCCCAAAACCTACTATGTAGATCAGGCTGGCCTTGAACTTACAGAGATCTACCTGCCTCTGCCTTCTGAGTGCTGGGATTAATGGCATGTGCCACTATGAGGATATGTACTCTTAACTACAAAATATTGATGGAAGAAATCAAGACAAATGGAAACACATCTTATGTTCATGAATTGGAAGACAGTACCAGTTGTATTTTCATATTACCAAGTGTGCTGGATAGCTTTAGTGTCAACTTGACACACCTGGGTTGAGGGAGCCTCAGTTGGGGAACTGCCTCTATTGGACTGGCTGTGGCCATGTCTGAGGGACATTTTCTTGATGAGTGATGTGGGAGGGCCCAGACCACTGTGGGTGGTGCCACCCCAGGGCAGGTGGGCCTGTATTGCATAAGAAAGCAGGCTGAGCAGGGGCCAGGGGAGCAAGCCAGTAAGCAGCGTTCCTCCATGGCCTGTGCTCCAGCTCCTGCCTCCAGGTTCCTGCCCTGAGTTCCTACCTTCGGCTCCCAAATGAACTATGACCCGGGATTTGTAAGCTAAATAAACCCCTTCCTCCCCATGTTGGTAGTAGTCAGAGTATTTTGTCATAGCAATGAAGAAACAAACCAGAATACCAAGTGATTTACAGATTTGGTGTAATCAGTACCAGAATCTGTTGTGATCTGAATCTGAAATGTCTCTCATAGGCTCATGTATTTAAACACCTGGTCCTCAGCTGGTGCTGCTATTGGTGGGGAGGGGGCTTGTGTGTAACAGAAGGAAGAGCTTTGCTTGAGGAATTGGGCCCTTAGAGGTGGACCTTGAGGCGTTAGAGCCTGGTCCCACTTTGTGTTCACTCTCTGCTCCCCGGCTGTGAATGCAGTGTGACCAGCTGCCTCCTGCTGCTGCCATGCTTTCTCTGCCATGGTAGACTGTGTTCCCTCAAACTAAGCCAAAGTATACCTTCCTCCCTTAAGTTGCTTCTTGTTGGGTATTTTGTCACAGCCAGGAGAAGGATAACAAATACAAAATCCCCGTGACATTTTTTTACAGAACTGGGAAAAATCAATGATCAAATTCATTTGGAACTACAAAAGACTCCATATATCAAAATCAGTTCAGAGAAAGAACAAAGCTAGAGCTACACACTTCCTAATTTTAAAACACATTAGAAGCACGTAGTAATTAAAGCCATCTGACCATAAAAGCAGAGATATAGCTCAGTGGAACAGAGTGCACAGCCCAGAAATAAACCCACGTGCATACGGTCAGCTTTCAACTGATCTGCAACAAGAATGTTCAAGATCCACAGTGAGGAAGGAACAGGTCCTTCAACAAATGGTACTAGATAAGCTAGAAAGCCGCATGCAAAAGAATGAAATCATACCCCTGTCTTACAAGTCAACTCACAGTTGTTTGAAATTTTAAATGTAAGACCTGAAACTATACAAATACTAGAAGAGAATGCAGGGGGAGTTTTTGTGTCACCGGCACTGGTTTCTTGGAGACAACTCTAGAAGCAGAAGCAACAAAAGCAAAAATAGACAAGTAGGGCAGTTTCTCCCCAAAGAAACTTGCCTTTAGGCCCCACACCAGGGAGGCAGAAGCAGGCGGTTCTTTGTGGTCTACATAGGGAGTTCCAGGCCAGTCAGGGCTGCAAAAATTCAAAACCAAACTAATGAAAAGAATAGGAGAAATATTTGCAGACCAGGCATCTGACAAGAGCTTAATGTCTAACAGTAAAAGAGATTTTTCTAATATTGAGGAATTACTGTGAGGTAGCTGTTAAAATCTTAGATGTTTAATAACATATATTCCATTGATTAAAAGTCACATGTGTTTGTGGTCTACAGGGTACTCTGGACTCTGGATGTTTCAGTGGTCTGAAGAGAAAAAAAGTATTGGCTGTTAGGAATCCACTGTCATTTCTGCTTGCTTTCCTAGATGCCTCCTTCCTAGATTCTTGTTTTTGTGTGGGTGTGGGTGGGTCTGGGTGTGGGTGTGGGTATAGGTGGGTTCTGGGAATAGGAGCCAGAGCCTCTACACAACCAGCCATGTCCTGTGCTAGTTACTAGCAACATGAAGAAGGTGTGTTGGAAGAAATGTCTAGTCTTGTCTAAGTAGTAGATTATAACCAGGAATTGTTTTCAGAATGACTAGTCAAGGTAAAAAATCCTTATCTTTGTGTTCAGATCCCATGTGCTATGATCAGAAGCATAGCAGCTAAGTGAGGGTGAGGCTTGAGTAGCTGTGCTTAAGGAGCAAAAAAAATAATCACCTGATTATTAAAGAAATTCTTTCCTAACCACTGGAAGAGATAAAGTGATGACGAGAAATTAATACCTTTCAGGTTCAGTGTGCTGAGTGTAATGTATGCCTACCATGGAAGGGGTGAGCCTCAATCCTATAAATATTTGCCACCTTGATTCAGAGCTTTACAAATTAAAGGACTGGTCTGCATGTTTCTAAACATGAAGGGAAAAGGGGTGAAAGGGCAGAATTATAATTCATCTGTAACTGCACACAAGCGAACAAAGGGGTTTGTTCTACCTGCTTTCCTTCTGTCCTGAGCCCAAGTAAGGAGGAAAATGCAGATAAATGGGAATTGCAGCTTCCTGGATGGTATGTAGTCTGTGTAGGGCCAGGCTGATAAAGAGAACTAGAGATGTTAAATTTTGGTCATTTTTTTTCTTTTTGCTTTGTTATTTTTTCTCTTTATTTTGGAAAGGGATTTTCCCCTAAGCTTATTGACTTCCACCTGATTTTAAAAAACCATCTCTTTTTCTTACTAAGATTATTCTATCATATGTTTTGGATGAGAATATGTATCATATTTTTATCATACATAAAAATAGTCAGATTTGGTTATGTGACAGTTGGTTTTTTTGAAAAATTAAATGGATTATTTTTTGCTTACAAATGTATATGTGTACATTACATAGTTTTATTAAATTGATGACTATTGAAATTCTGTGCCATTTTCTCATGATTATATCACAAAAAAATGATTGAAAGAGTCTATGAAGAGGAAGGCTCTCTTCCCTAGATGGTGATGGTTGGGGTAGATTTTGGGTTTACTGGTGAAGAAGCATTGTCTGCCTGTGATTGGTTCTCTGCTTGTCTTGGACAGTACCATGATTATCCCTTTTAAAAAGACACTGTACTCCCTCAGGATCTTTTTTTTTGCATCTCTGATCCATCACTCAATTGTTAATGTGCCTTTGGGAGTCTCCGAGGTTCTCCATTAATCAGGACTTGAAGAATGGTGTGATAATAGTTAATACTGACATTAATAGGTTTCCTTCAGGCTTTTCTTTTTCACTGTTTTGGTTTGGAATGTTTATGACTCATATGCAATTACTATATTAAGAATGAGTCTGTTCTAAATGTATGTGATGAGTAATGTATTCTTTATGAATTATGTCTTAGAGAAAAACCTTCGCATGTAATCTTTTATGTTAAAAAATCAATACTAAAAGAATTGGGTAAGTTATATGGTTCCTGAAAAAAATATAGCTTTCCAATATTAAATTTTAGAAATTTTGGTACTTAAAAAATTTAGTAGACATTTGTGCTGGGTGTGGTGGTGCATGCCTTTAATCCCAGCACTTGGGAGGCAGAGGCAGGTGGATCCTTGTGTGTTAAAGGCCAGCCTGGTCTACATAGTGAGTCCAGGTCAGCTGGGACTATAGGGAGACCTTGTCTCAAAAAGGCAAAAAAAAAAAAAATTTAGTAGACATTTGTAAACCAATTGACAAATAGTATAGCTTTTATGCTATTCCTAATTAAATAGTTGAAGCTTCATGAGTAATGGACATATCATTTTAACTTCTTAATCCCTGTTCCCATCTACGTAGATATAGAAGAGATTGTCTATCTAAAGTTGTGTTATTTTAAATTTATGTTCCTTAAGGGAAAAAATGCTGGAGAGAAGCTGCTTTGAGATGCAAATGCTTCATTTTTTTGGTGCTTCATTATTTCAGTAAATGATGCTACAGCTGAGTTCAATTAAGCCAGTTATGTAAAGAGTCAGTGATTGCTGTTTGATTAGGACTAAAATCAGAGAATTTTAGGTGTTTCTTTGTATGAATAGATTTGTGATATAATTATTTCAGTTAGAATGATCTATTTATTTATATTTATTTTCTGAGACAGGGTTTCACTGTGTAGCTCAAACTAACCTGGAACTCATCGTACAGCCCAGACTGTCCTCAAACTTGTGGCAGTCCTCCTGCCTCAATCTCAGTTGCTGGAATTGCAAGCATATGAGCTCCCATACCCAGTGAACTAGCTTGTTTCCTCCCTCCTCCCTCCCTCCTTCCCTTTTTCCCTTCCTATGATCCACAGAAAATAGAAATAGTTCAGGCTGTCCTTGAACTCATGATCCTTCTACCTCAACTTCCTAAGTAGGTAAGATTACAGAATGTCACCCATGACTGGCAGTAATGAGATTTTTATAGAGGATAAGTTAGTTAATAGGCTTTTGGAACTAGAAGTACTTATAATTCAGGTACTCCATCTATTTCACTTTACAGCTAATGATAGTGAGAATCAAAGTGGGGAATAACAACTTACTCAAGGTGGCACATTTAGTTAAAATAAAGCCCAGATCTCACTTTGATTTTCCAGCCTAGTGTTGTTCACACTATAGCCCGTGTCATTCTCTGAAAACCAGCCTAGGTATATTTAGAAGAAAGGGAGGTGGGAGGGTGTCAAAGGAAGGGGGCATTGTGGCACGCCCCTTTCTGTTGGTTTGTGGATATCCTGCAGCTGTTGAAACTATATACACAATGAGATAATTGTGCTAATAAAATTAATTTTTGCTTTTTAGGTGAGAGTTATGTGTGTGCCTCCAATGAGCCATTTCGTAAAGTTGACTATACCAAAAATATTAATCCGAACTGGTCTGTGAACATCAAAGGCGGGACAGCTCGAACCTTGGCCACTGCCTCTGGGAAAAGTGAAGGGAAAGAAAGCAAGGATTTCATCAAACCCAAGTTAGTGACTGTGATTCGAAGTGGAGTGAAGCCTAGAAAAGCTGTGCGGATCCTTCTGAATAAAAAGACTGCTCATTCCTTTGAGCAGGTCCTAACTGATATCACCGAAGCCATTAAGTTAGACTCAGGCGTGGTCAAAAGGCTGTGTACCCTGGACGGAAAGCAGGTAAGCTGCCGCTTCTCAGCTCTCCACCCGTCTTTATTGGATGTGATATGTTGGTATATTTATTGTTAACTGTTGGTTTCTGGAGACAGGGTCTTATCATGTTCCAGGCTGCCTGGAACTTGCTATGTAATCCAGGCTAGACTTGAATTTGGGATTTTCCTGCTTCTTCCTTCTGAGTGCTAGGATTAGAGATGTGCTCCAAGCTTAGCTACTCCATCTGAATTTAAAGGGTAAATTTAACTGTGTCAGTGCAATTACATATTCAACAACAGTTTAGTAGCCTCCTGGAAATAATCCTACATGAAGGGTATGAGAGAGAGAGAGAGTTAGCCTTTATCATGAAAAATGTAAGCAGCTCACATTTCTCCAAATATCTCAAAATTTAGTGTATACCTCTTTAGTTTATAGAAGGAAAAAACTTCTGGGGGGAAAAGGGTAAATTGAGATGGTATCCTATGTTAAATTCTCGAGATATCATTTGTTAAGTTATTGGCTCACGAATCATAGAAATAAAAATTATAGCTATTTAACATTTTAAAAAGCCTTTTTTCCTGAATTATGGGAAAGATAATGCATTTTAAATGCATTTTAAAAACCTGGGCATGGTGGCGCACGCCTGTAGTCCCAGCACTTGGGAGGCAGAAGCAAGTGGATCTCTGTGGGTTCAAGGCCAGCCTGGTCTACATAGTAAATTCCAGGACAGCTGGGGCTGCAGGGAGACCCTGTCTCAAAAGGACCGAAAAAAAAAAGAAAAAAAAATGCATTTTAAGAGGAAATACTTTCACAGGAATGTTGGTGTAAGTTGCTTGGAGAACAATAGAGGTAGTTAGTCAGCATTTCTGACAAGTGAACAGTTGGTCGGAAAAACGCAAGTCACATGATAGGAAGAATGTATCAAAGAATCTAGTGGGCTCAGAAAGCTTGAGTGCAGTACGGGAAAACAGGAATAGTTATTTATGTAAATGTTGAATTTTGCCAGAAGCTGATTATTCTTAAAAAGAAACAGCCTTACAAATTTCCTCATTTTCCATAAAACTAAATTGTTAATATTTGTGTTATAGATTTAGTCATTTTGTTTCTTCATTACATAATTTATTTAGTAATGTTTAGTTTTTGTAATACTGAGAATGAGTATATAAAGACACAGAGAAGTGTCTTCCAGAAAAACACGTTGAAGCATCTGAGTTTCTAAAACCAACTCTAGTGACTAGGGTGCTTTCTGCCACATTTCATTACTGCATGAAGGCCCAGGGTTCAATTACCAGCACTAAGAATAAACAAGAAAGGCTGGGCATGATGTTGCATGCTTTTAATCCTAGGACTTGGGAGGATCTCTGTGAGTGTGAGGCCAGCCTGTGTTACATAGCAAGCTCTAGGCCAACCATAGCTACATAGTGAGACCCTGTCTCAAAAGACAAAAGCAAAAGCAAACTAAAAACAAAACAAAAATTCCCAAACAAGAGCAACAAAACCCCTTAAAATAAATAAGAAATAACATATAAATTATCCAGATGACAGTAGAATAGGGTTAGATTAGAATGTTGGAATTAATGATCAAATAGGTTCACAGCATTAATGAAAACAGACATGTGAACAGTAGAGTTACTATTAGAGTTGCATGGTACAACACCAAACAGCGTAAGATTAACTTTATGTATATGTGAAAATAAATTAGGCCACAGGGAAGTGAGGTGATAAGAGAGGTAATTATTGGTGGACATAGGCAAGACAAGAAGTATGGATATATTTAATATAGCTAACTAAAAGAAAAATAATAACTGAAATATGGCAAATTAGAAAAAAAAAAAGGCATATCTGAGTGGAGTGGCACATGCTGTGATCCCAGCACTTGGGCATCTGAAGCAGAAGTATCACAAGTTCAAGGCTAGCCTGAGCTATGTAGGAAGCCTCATCTCAACCTCTTATACCCCCACAAAATAAATAAAAAGATGGGATTCAGTACTAATTGCAGATGAAATTTGAAAAATGAGAACTCAGATATCATCTCCAATTGAAGAGCATTCGGGCGTATATGAGTGAGTACCGTGGTTGATACCTAACTAAGATAATAACCATTGAAAAAAAGTTTTTTTTGAGAGGGGGTCTCCTTGTAGCCCCAGCTGGCCTGGAATTTACTGTGTAAACCAGGCTGGTCTCCCAAGTACTGGGATTAAAGAGTGTACCCCCATACCTGGCACCATTGAAATTTTAATCATTATGCAGTAATCTGTTCAAAAAGACCGTAGACTAGAAATGTAAAAATTTTAACTAAAGTACAAGCTATTCAACATCATCAACATACGCAGAATCTGCAGTTGATGAGAAGAATCTTGGCCAGTGATTCCAGGAGTCCTTAAGAATGTTCTTTTTGTTTCAGACCTGTGGGATAAAGCTAACAGCACACATGAGTAATCCCAAAAGATGCTGCAAAAGTACATGACAGTGGGGCTGGAGAGATGGCTCAGTGGTTAAGAACACTAGCTGTTCTTGCAGAAGACCTGGATTCGAATCCCAGCATCCACATGGCAGCTAACAACTGTCCGTAACTCCAGTTCCAGGGGATCTGACAGACTCTCCTGTCCTCCGCGGGCATTGCATGACATGGGTGCACTTACCTACATGCAGGCAATACATACATACACATAAAATAAAAATAAAATATTTTTTTAAAAAAGTACATGACAAGATACAAGATATGTGTTTCGTTACAGAGTTAATATTAAATATAGAAAGTGATTTAGAATACTACAAAATTCTCCTGTCTGAAGCCAGAAGCCAATATATTGTTAAACAAATAAGATGCTGAATGGATCGTTCTGTCCATCAACTCCAAGACTTCGCCAAAAAGCACCAATATTCACTACTGTTCCCTAAATTCTTCCGAATCTTATTTATAATTCAGTGCAATTTCATTAAGAATCTAAATGATTTTGGAGTAGGGGACAGGAATCCTGACAAGTGATTTTAGAAGTTGATCTGGGAAACAGGACATTTTTGGAAGTAATGTTTAATGGGCTCTCATGCTACCAGGTGTTAAATCATCATTGCTACCACACAAAGAGTAATCTGGGTGTTTTAAAAATGTGGATGTGAAACACAGAGTGAAACAAACACTGAAATATGTCTGTAGCTATGTTGAAATTGGAGAGAATTTTCTAAACATAGAAATAGTGTGAAAATAGTGAATTACAAAGTTGATTGTACTGCATAAAATTAAAATTTTCTGTTCATCAAGCAGCCATTATTTACTTTTCTGTCGGGTTGCAGTAGTTTAATACAAAGACAAATGGCCACAATGGAAAACTGAATAAAGTCTAAATAGTTTGGAAAGACAGAGTTAAAAAAATATACATTGAAAATATTTTAAAAATATATTATTTTTATTTTATGTGTACGAGTGTTCTGCATGTATGTAAATGCACCCATGTCATGCAGTGCTGAGGGAGGTTGGAAGAGGGCGTCCAATCCCCTGGAACTGGAGTTAGAGACGGTTGTTAGCTGCCATGTGGGTGCTGGGAATCAAACCTAGCTCCTCTGCAAGAATAATCGGTGCTCTTAACTGCTGAGCCATCTCTCCAGCCCTGGAGAAATCTTTAAAGGCATGAGAAAATGCTACTAGAAGAAGCAAGGAATAAGCTCTGTGTAATATGTTTTTAATTTTGTTTACCGGAAATAAAGGCAGAATTATGTTTTAGAAAGTAATTTAGAAGGATAAAGATTTTAGTTGCCACCAGAAATTAAATGTTTGCTGTTCTGATTTCCTTTGTGTCTTCCTGAAATTCAAATACAGCCTGGAAGTTAATCCTTGAAATTTTGTATGTGGATGTTACAGCTGTCAATTTTTGTCACTCTTTTTGTTGGTTGTTGGTTGGTTTTTGTTTTGAAATAGGGTCTTCCTGTGTGGTCCATCCTGGCCTGGAACTTGTACTCCACCTGTCTCTACCTTCCACTTTCTGGGAGTACAGGCCATGAGCTGCCATGTCCAGAATCTTATGCTGCCTTTTATGTTTATGAACTTAAATATTTCTGTTTGCAAAGAAAAATATTTTCAGACTTTTAAAATAATACATTTCTTTGAAAAGTTACAGATTTTATTTTTGTACACACACCATTTTGTTATTACATTCTTGGAGGCCAGAATTGGTGTTTACGAGCTGTGGTTTTCTTTGTGATTCAACATTGCTCCAAAGATGGACTTGTTATTTTCAGAACTTCAGGTCTGTTTTTGGTCAATGTGTGTTATTAATAGAAATGGAACACTAAATCTTGCTTTACAATAACTTAAGGGATTGTCTGTATTTAAGATTAATGAAAACCTTGACTAGGTAGTGTTTCAATTTTTTTCACAAAATGATTTTCTATGGGTTGGTTAAAGTCTTTACTTTCTGAAGATTCTTTATTTTAAAAGGGCACATTTCCTTTGAAGAGAAATGAAAAGACGAAGAAGGGACGTGCATCTATGAATGAGCTCTGGTACAGCATTCTAGACGGTCTTCAACATTTTCCCTTCTTATTTCCTGCCCGAATTTGTTTCCATTTAAAATTAATTTGCTCTTTGACACAAAGATAGAGATTGTCTCTGTCTCTGTCTCTGTCTCTCTGTCTCTGTCTCTGTCTCTGTCTCTCTCTGTCTCTCTCTCTGTCTCTCTCTCTCTCTCTCTCTCTCTCTCTCTCTCTCTCTCTCTCTCTCTCTCTTTTTAAATCTTTTTGAGACCAGGCAGGTCTTCTGTAGCCACAGCTGGCCTGGAACTTGGCATGCTGGCCTGGATCTCATAGCGATTCGCCCACCTTTGCCTTCCAAATTGAGGGATTAAAGGCCTGCACCACCCCTTCACCATGAGGGGTTACTGGTTCCATCCTGACACTTAACAATAGAGTTTTCAGGGGTCTTGCTTTCTTTTGTGCCTGAAATATTTGAGGACTGAAGGCACAGTGAGGTGCCATGTGCCAGTAGCATATTTATAACAGTATGCCTTGGTTTTTTTTTTCTTTCTTTCAAA